GCAATGACACAGGGCCTCGCTCCACTACACAACATTGTACATGCATTTGGACGCTTTTCCTGACACTATACATTCACAACGTTAGAATTGTCTGAATGCCCCTGGTCCCTAAAGCGTTCAAATGCATGTACAGTGTTGTGTAGTGGAGCGAGGCCCACAGATTTCGACGTTTTCAACCCCTCTGACAGCTATACATGCACTCTACGAAAATTTAGTATTTGTAGATTAGTGCAGCGAAGCCCTGCGGAAGAGCAGAAGGAAAAGCTAGAGAGACCCCTAGAAAAATCTGAAATATGGACAGCCCTCATGCAAATGGAGGAAGAAAAGACTCCGGGCATTGATGGGCTACCAAAAGAATTTTGGGAATCTATGTGGAACCCCCTGCCACTGGACCTGATGAACTACTACCGAGCCGTTTGGGAGTCTGGGCAAATGGGGGAAGTGGTGGGGCAAGGGGTGCTATTGCTCTTGTACAAAAAAGGTGATAAGATGAATATTTGAAACTACCGACCTATTACCCTACTCATAGTGGTATAAAAAATGGTGGCAAAAACCTTGGCAAACCGCATGATCCCAATAATGGAGGATATCATCCACCCAGCACAAACTGGCTTTATAAAAGGCAGGAAAATACAACATAATATCCTCCTAATAAACAAGGTGATAAAATTGTCACGCCAATCTAAGCACAATGCGGCAATAATCTTTATTGACTTTGAAAAAACCTATGCTCACGTTGACTGGTTCTTCCTTGAAAAGTGTCTGGGGAAACTAAACTTTGGCCCTTGCTTCAGGAGCTCAGGTGGGTGGAGATTCTGCATCATAGTGCCACAACGAGGGTGCAAGTAGATGGGAGGCTGGCTCCCCCCATTTGCTTGGAACGCTCGGGACGCCAAGGGGACCCGATCGCCTCGTTTTCGTTATAATCATGGAGGCGCTGGCAGCAAATATGAGAGAACATAAGAAAATTCAAAAAATACGGGTAACCTCTATCCAAGAAGAGGCAATCCCAATTTGCTCCTTGTTTGCAGATGATCTCACCATTATGGTAAATGCCTCCCTGAAAATATGAGAGAAACCAAAGTGTTGATGAACCGCTTTTACATCCTGTCAGATATGAGAGTGAACTGCGGGAGCAAGACTTGAGGGTGGTGGATCCACCACCAAGGGTGTAGGCCATCGGAGTCTCCACGGGTAAGATGGGTACCAAGCAACTCACCTATCAGAATCTTGGGGATACAGATGTCCGCATAGGGTCATCCAACAACCAATGATAAATGGTTAACACAACCAGTCTTGGAAAAATTATCACGGTGGAAGGATCACCACACATCATTAATGGGAAGGGCCCTTATCATCAACGACGTGGTGTTGGCATCTCTGTGGTATAAAACAGTCATATGGTCACTCAACAAGTCAGCATTGCGCCCCCTTCAGAGACAGGTAGCAGCCTATCTCTAGAGAGGGAACCATGAATGTAAAAGCGTGATTAGTAGAGTCGCTTGGCGTGCAACTATCCAGCCGAAATCATAAAGAGGCTTGGGGACACCTAACGCAAGCTACCGCTCCCAGATAAGGTGGCTCCGCGACGGTGGGAAGAGGTGTTTAGACAACCGTTATTCGGGAACCGGTGGGTTACTCATTCCCAAGGCTTAGTCTTTCTTTGCACCGAAACCCCTGGAAGGGGTAGGTGAGTCCGGGCGTCCTTAGAGTGGGAAACATCTGGGATTTGGACACTAGGGACTGGATAGCTGAAACCCAGTTAAGAGAGCAACTGCGATATTGTCATAATATTGGAGAAGCTCTTGAAAGAATTGTTCTTTCGATAGCATTGGACTGGGTAAGGATTCTGAGGAAAGGACGAACCCTGCACGAAAGTGACTGGGTAGGGATCAGGGCGGGTGTAGACCGAATGGGAAATGTGGCAGTGTCTAGCCGGCTGAATGGGGAGGTGTTGGTAGATCTCTTTCAAATTAAGAGCAAAAATGGATTGGTCAAGACGAATCCGGATGAGACAAGGTGGTTTAAAGAAGAGGAAATCTTTCAAATTAGGGTGCTCAAGGAAGGAGAATAGTGGTGGGCGTATAGACCCGACACCTCGATTGCACATCTAGCCTTTGATCCGGCCTCTTGGGTCTGGACTGCCCAGTTAGGCAGAGGCAAGACAGGAAAGCAACAATTTTTTTTAATGACAGTTAAAGGAGCCTATTGTCTGCTACGTCCAAGGGTGAATCTAAAGGATGTGATAACGGACCGTTGGATGAGAGACCTAAATCTGGAAAGGAACACCCTGCGACCTATCAAATGCTTTAGGCTCAGTAAATCATTACCAGCCAAGATTGCATCCTTACAATGGCAAGTGGAGCACCGTTGCCTGCCCACAAATGATTGGTTGATTGACCGTACATCTTTGGAACAGAAGGGCCTAGCTCTCCCCTGGTGCAAATTACGTGCGACGCCATACCCAGCCAGGCGGAGACCTGAAACAATTGAACACATCTTTCTGCAGTGCCTTGGGTCAGTCTGGTTATGGAGATGGTGGGATCGAGTGTGGCGCCTGTTAGACGCAACAACCCCTTGGCCATGGGACTGGAAACCAATTCTGTGTGAAACCTGGCAGTCAGAACAAGCGAGCAATTTTGAGAGAAACATGTTCACTGTGAGATGGAGAGAATCTTTTGGGTAATTTGGTGGAAAAGGTGCACTAGAGAGATGGAAGGAGTTCGACTTGAAGGACCGGCTGTTATAGAGACAATCAAACACCAGATTCAGGTAGACCTCATGGTTCAATGGGATAAAATTAAGGAAAAAATAGCCTTTATACACTCAAGAACAGAAATCAAACTGCAAATCCAATCCTTCTGTAACGACTGGCTGGGAGGGGAACACGGGGGGTTGATAGCGAATGTGCAATGGAAAAGGGGGGAGAGGGAGGGGAGGGAGGGAATAAGGAAAGTTTTGAAAGGGACTACCACCTCCATTTTAATAATTGGACTAGAATTGACTCCTCCATCCCATTGCGGCCTCTCTCTGATTTCCCCAATCCTTTTCCGCCACCAGCAAGCTCAATGGTCGAGACTAACGGGTATGCAGGTGCTTAAAGAAAGGGTCAACTGTGTAGGATGAGAATATTGTTGCTTTTTCTGATATCCTGTTCAATTCAATACTCTGGTTTCCAGAGTAATCAATGACTAGGGAGGGAAGAATTAGTGTAACAGCAGGTATCTGGCGCCGGTTTCAGGGTGAAGAGATTCTCTCCCCTCTTTCTAATATCCTGCTCAGTTAATCCCCTGGATCCCAGTGTAATCAATGCCGGCAGGAATCCCCCACAACCGTTTTTCTGATATGGTTCATATTCAGTCTCTGTATATGGGACACTGGACCCGTTTTCCAGCAGGTGATGCTCCCCACCAGTAGATGGAGTCGCTCCCCAGGTGCTAGTGGTGTCTGCTCTTATCAGCAACACTAACACTGATGGGGCATTTGCTTTACAAAAAAAAAAAAAAAAAGCCCAATGGATGTTCAAAAATGAGCAGGGCAGAAAAAGCTGCGGATTAGTTAGTCCTCTCATTACGAGGGCCCGGACCAGAGCCTGGAGGAACGGGACACTGAAGGAGGCCCGACACACGGGGCCCGGAGCAGAGCCTGAAGCAGTCCAGAGGATGAAGGAACAGGACAATAAAGGAGGCCCCCGTACAAGAGGTCAGACGACAGAGCTGTCCCATACAGAGCCCTCAAACTCTTTCTATACTTCACACCTCCAAGTACGTAAGTCCCAATCTCGTGTGTAACAGATGTGCATTGTACATTACAGGGAAGCTGGACCCGTTGTCCACCAGATGCTGCTCCCCACCAATAGATGGGAGCCTTTCAATGCAGAACCCACTTAAAAAGGCCGATCTTACCGCCTCCTTAATAGGATCTCTGCCCTAAAGTTTTCCAAATAAAAAATATAAAAATCTACACTGGGAAACTGGCATTTTACCAAAGGATGTCCAGTAGTGTGTGTACCCATTATGGTCAACCCTCTCACTATGAAAGCAATCAATACCATTGGGGGCAGCCTGGGGAGACATGCTGCCTATGTGTACCTTGATTTCTTTCCTCCAATGAAACAAGCTCGTTCCAATTTTTAAAAAGCAGTGCACAGCGCTTTGATGTCAGACAAGTGCACATCAACTTTCCCTTCGCCAAGGTTTCTTCCTACAAGGTATTGAGAAAAAAACAACTCACATCCTCCCTGATAGCGCTCTGGAGACGATGCAGGATAGACTTGATCCCCTCCATTGCTCTCTCTCTCTCTCTCTCTCTCTCTCTCTCTCTCTCTCTCGCGCGCGCGCGCGCGCGCGCGCCCCTGGGTGTGTCTGCTTATAAAAAGGGATGAGAAACATCTTTATGGTATGCATACGCAGGTAAGTGTCTCTCAATCAGATCGGACGAAAATAGACGGTACAATATAGTCATGGCAGAATTTCGCACAGGAAAGCCGTCATGGACACAAAACCGCAATATTCCTGCTGCTGTGACCTCAACGAGGGTTCATCGCGGCTCCGGACTTGAACTGGAGGCCTTTCCCTCGAAGACTGGTCAGCACCACAGGGATGCTGCGTACAAAGGAGCATCAACCGCGTGTGCGCTACCAGGCCAATAAATGAAAAGCTGCCACGAAGAAAAAACATATGAAAGAGCGTATTGCAGATACTCTATGAAAATGTGAAGGGCTTCGAATTTTAAGAAGTGTTAAGAAGATTGGAGTAGGATTCTGGAAAGTCGTAGTTAGGGACTCTTCCGCAGGCGCAAGCCTGGAAGGTAAGCTGGCTGATGCTGTCAGTACCCCGGGTTGAATTGTGAGGTCCCCGGCCTCGAACTGAAGTTTATAAGGAAAATACAGTTGGTTTGTTACCAAAAAAAAAAAAAAAAAAAAAAAAAAAAAGTGAACAGCATCCTCATGGAAGACATCCAAAGTCCCGCAAAAAAAGTATGACAGGCAAAAAAAGTCTGACAGCATATGTTATCCCAGGAAATATATATGGCAGTGTAGCACAAAAAAATTGACTTCCGAAAATCACAAAGGTATTACGCTCACAGACTAACAGAAACGAACAAAACCGAGCGCAGAGTATCATTCCTATCATGAGAGAAACTGCACGAGAACAAAACCACGACCGGTGCAAAACATGAGAACGGCACTCACAACAGAGGCTACTAGGTCCCACTGCTCTCAAATAGAATACACGGTCATTATTGCCTGCGTCTAGACCGAAAGTTACCCCAAATACAGCTATGATAATGATCATGCCTTCTGTTCGGGGAAGATGCTGGAGCACGGATTAGACATTGATAGCCATTGACCGCCGTAGACGTTGATTGCCCTAGCCGTTGATCACCGTCGTTTGCCAACGGCCAGCATCTCCCAATCCGCGCAGGGAATACCTTGCTCCCGGAGAATGGAGCAAAGCCGCAGAGCTCAGCAGGCCTGATGACCTGGGGGTTGTTTCCCCAGAGAGCACCAGGCGTGCTGCGCGCTGCCCCGACTCTTTTCACATTTTCCCTCGTCCCAAATTGAGACTTCATAACTACAATTCATCATGCGTTCACGGAGCAGAGAACCAACGTCTCGAGTTTCTTTTTTGCCAACGTGGAAGCTTTACACGCTGTTTTTTCCACTTCCAAAGTCGCAACAACCAACGTTCGAAAGTTGGTTACTTCTCTTCGCGAAAAAAAAAAAAAAAAAAAAAGAAGAAGAAAGGAGTCCGGAAAAGTATCAAATGCCTCCAACAAAACGAAAAGGCCTCCAAGAATAAAAACAACCCTCAAACAGAAAAACAGCCTCTGACAAGATTCAAAACCAAAAAAAAAACACAATCAAATGCTGTTGCAGGAAGAACCAGTCATGAGAAGCCGACGCGTACTGATATAAGAGGCATAAGGCAATAATCGCAATCATCAAACACGTGAACAACACCCTCCCGCCCGCCTTCAAACGCCTGAAGGCTGAAACACCCTCGCGCTTCGGATCTTCTCCCCATCCTCCTCATTCCCCTTCTGTCTACTCCACCCTCACATAAAAGTACATACCGGATTCGAAGAAATCCTGAAGAGGCAACCCCTTAACAACCAACAATGAAGCAGGCCCCTCCCCCCCCCCCCCAAAAAAAAAAAAAACAAAAAAAAACAAAGCAAACCCTCTTCCGAAAAAAGCACATCGCTCACTCGTCGCCTTCTTGCGACATTACCCTCCACCACACCCTCCGGCTTGTGCGAATACGCCCCGCCCATCATCACGCCCCACCGCACGACAACCTTTACACGCACCTCCGCCCCGCACACTCTTTCGCAGAGCGAGAGAAAGAAACAAGTCTTCTTCACAGAGACCTCCGAAGCCTTATGAACAGTGGACCGGTCTTCGTTCCATGATCAAGGCCTGCCTTCACAAATCCAACACAATATACACACGTGTCGTGCACTAATTCCGTGGAGACGCCCTCTGGGCAAAGCAAGTCCCCGAACAACCGAAAAATCCGCCCTCCACCAATCTCAGAAAAGGAGGAGGAGGCAAAGAAACCTCCCGCGAGAAAAGAGCTCCCCCCTCCCCCCATTGACTCGCGCTCTCGCTCAAACCGTGACTTGTTTTGAGCGCGTCAACGCGACGAACAGTCTTCTCTCTCTCTCTCTCTCTCTCTCTCTCTCTCTCTCTCTCTCTCTCTCTCTCTCTCTCTCTCTCTCTCTCGCTCGCTCGCTCGCTCTCAGTGTATGCCCATCCGGAACCCCAGCGTCCACATTTAACGTCGAATAACGGCGATAATTCCAGGCTGGACACGAACTGGCCTGAGGTGGCACTTGTTATTATTCATTATTGGTTGACACAAAATGCCAAATTTCATGCTCCCGTTCCCTCCTCTGCTCCAACGACCGGTCGTCGTCTGGGTAGCGAAAGTCGCAAAGATGGGTTTAAAATACCAAAGGAAACGAACGCACTGGAGCTGCTCTTCTACTGCCTTCTTCCAAGATACAGGCGTGTCATTGGCACGAAGAATGCCGGACGCCTTCCAGCTTTCGGATAAGAAAGCGCGCAACTCGGACTATAGAAATTCACGAAACCCATTTTCACACACTCTCTCCCACCTCCATCCTTCGAAAAATAAGAAGTGCCCAAATCTGGATATCGAAATTTTAGAAAGAAACCCACTTTCACACAAAGTCTCCCATTTCTAACACCCTCACCTGTCTACTTCTCTCACATATACATACACCTACACGCAGGAAACAAGCCCGCCCGTCCTGAGCGTCCATCCCGCCCATTTCAAACTGAAATGCGCCGCGCGGCTCGTCGAACGCATTTCGTCGGACCACAAAAGAATACAACTTTTCAATACACGACTGCGCCTCGCACACCTCCACCCTCTTGATGTACAGAGTCTTCACACGATGAAAATTTGAAACTCCATCTCAAGCATGCGAAACTCCTCGCAAACACAAAGACAACGCTTCTACTACGCAGATAGATAACGCTCCCGCGTTTCCTCTCTAACTCACGCAAGAACCGAGACAAGGTGGGACACGCGGAGAGCCTTCACACTCACACCCAGTAAGTACATCCCTCGACCTCGCGAGCAACGAGCAGGGACGCAAACAAGATGACAGAAGCGTTTCCTCTCGTGTTCGCCATATCCAGGATGGCCAAGCTGACATGTATCACCATCACGGTTGTCCCTTATCCATTGACAATTTCTCACCTCGACGACCTCACCACGCTTTCCCACCCACGCGAGTTGCAGGGGCACAACTTGAGCTCCTCATTCTTTGCGGGGGCCGGACTCAGCCGGGGCTCCGCGACCAACTTGAAGGCCCGAGAGCCTCAGCACAGGGCAGAGGTTACATCCATCCTCTTCTCGGCCGCCGCAAACGTCACTCCGGGCCACATATTTATGCCGCATGGCGCATACACACCACCAACGCACGAAAGCCGGTCGACGAGGTCTTCTCGTCCTCACGCTTCAGCAGAAACAACGTCGTCGGGATCCCGAATGCAGACCCCGGCCATCGCCGCCCCCATCCGTATCTGCGACCACCACCTTTCTCCCATCCAACCCTCAACCGACAAGCGAAAGCTATTTGACAAGCCTGCACACGTACACGTATTACGCCACATGGCGCATACACACCACCCACTCACGAAAGCGGAACGCAGGAAAGTCTTCATTCCCCTCACGCTTCGCTCGGGTCCTATACGGGTGTACATCAGGATGGACGAGCGACATGCACATCCTATCAGAGCAAAGGCGGACCGCTCAATCAACCAAAACGTCGCAACGACGACGACAAGCCCCGACAGAAATAGTAACCCTGTCGTGCACTTCATACATACATACGTATATGTAATATGTATGTCGCCCTCAGGCTTAATTGCCCCCAGGATGGACTCTCAATTGCCCCCAGGAGGGAACATCATCCACCACACCAACCTCTCGCCCACAGAGGGGCTTTCGGGTCCCATGACCTCCTCATCCGAGAGAGAACCACTGCGCGCCAACGAAGTCTGCAGCTCTAGGTGCGAGAATCCCTTGCTCACGCGTCCCCCATCTGCAACGACCGGATAGGAAGACGAGGAAAAGGACGACGCTGACGCCGGCTTTTTCCAACTGCCGTCTCCTCCACTGAAGGAGTACGCCGACCCCGACGCTATGGATGCTTGAGAGGCCAACGCTGCCGCGCGCAACATTGCGAGCGTCCCCTTCCTGGCCTTCGGAACGTCCATTGCCTTCGTCTTCTCGAAAGAGTTCATCGTCGTCCGAAGCTGAGAACCTGCAGCAACGAAACGCCACACCACTGTCCAAAACACGACTTCCGATAGTTTCTCTCTTGGCCACACAGCCTGTCGAAATTGGAGACGAGAAGAAAATTCGCAAGTTGTCGCAAGTTGTCAGACAATGCTTCTCGACACCTCCTTTCGGAAGTTGTTGTTGTTGAATTGACTCCCCAGCGTGCTACTCCGACGCTTTCAATAGTCCTCCGGCTGCGCCATCGACTTCTCGTCGAAATTTGGTGAGTGGGCGTACGGTTGGGATGGACAAAGAGGAGCACCCCACTGCTTTGCGGCAAAGCTTCGGAAAACGCTAACAAAAAATGACATGGCAAGCTTTTCCGCTCAGTTTCGTTTTGCCCGCTCCTCCCGGTTCGGCCGTCCTGAGGGGGTAGCACCCCCCTCGGTTTGCACATAGCATGTGACACGGAGAGCCAGGGATTGGACGAGCACCGAGACAAGGGGATGTGAAGTTCCTGAATAGAGACAAGCGGATGTGAAGTTTCTGAACTGAATAGGGAAAGTTTTCCCTATCGGGTAACCAGCAACGACCGCCGACCTGCCTAAAATTTGTGCTGCAGCGGGGTCCGCTTTTCTGTTTCCCATCACCGGGGCCTACAATTTGGGTTTAGCAGAAGCTTTCCGCCTGGAAAGCTTCCGCCAGGCAGGCAGTGGGGTCCACCTCTAATGCGTGTCGTACCCTCAGGCGCCTTTGTCCATTCTACAGTGCTGTGTGGCTAAGGGGCTCGCCACACGCCCTTTCGAAAGGCTGCTCGTCGAAAGAAACACCCCCCTTGGCCACACAGACTTTCAAAAGACCAACCAGCTTTCAATACGGACATCCTAATCTCCCCTTTTTGTTTTTGTTTTTTGCCAGTAGTCCGTTTTGGGAGTGCCCTTTCCACAAGACCACTCGCGGGCTTTTGAAACCCCCATCGTGACACGTGAGAAGATGTTGCCCATTCGAAAGGCCTTTAGAATCCCAACTCCCTAACATGTTTTGAAACTTTGTCTAATCCTGTGCGGCCAAGACGGTGTGGATTTTCCATGTTTTGAAAGGCTGTGTGGCGATCCCCTAAAGGGAGGCAAATTGTCGGAAGGAGGCTGTCAAATTTATTCTGACAGCCGTAGATTTTTTTTGCCGCTGTCGAATTTATTCTGACAGCCGTCGATTATTTTTGCCTATGGACAGTGGTGCTGTGAGCCCATGAGTACGAGCTCGTTCCATCTCATATATAACACAAAGATATTAGATATTGTGTTCGTCGACATAAATGATGTTGTGCACATCTTATGATTAGAGACCCATTTCCGTCAGAACGTGATGAGAAGTCGAAACTGCTCTTATTACCAACACACAAGCACAAAAAATGGCTGCATTTTAATTACAAAAAAAAAATGATGTTAGACTGTCAGTCCGTTCACACGAGCCTAGGTCGACAAAGCGACCTTCCAAGGCGCGCGAACCTGCAACTACGTCTTTTCAAAGTGGCCTGCGACTTTCGCTACCAGCTCACGGCCAGATCATAATGATTTTGCCGCGTAAACTGGCAAGAGCAGTGCTATGCTTCGGGTGAACTACTGCCTGTTTAATTACAAATTGACAGAATTGAGGTAAATTGATCGACATTGTCAATGCAAGAGATAAGAAGTCGAAGCAAATGTTCCTATTACCAACACACTTTCACAAATGGCGACATGTAAATTACATAAATTGGCAGAATGTGAACAGAAAAGGTCATCGCATTGCTGATAGACGTGCGCTTCTATAGATACTATAATGATATGCATAATTTGAAGAGAAATGTTCGTTGTTATCATACGTAAACAAAATTGAACGTTCATTACGAAGAAATAAATTGTCATTTAGGAGCGACAATATAGACCTAGGTAATTTTGAATTTATGTTAGTATACTACATTCTCTTCATACTACTTATTTAGGCTACCACCCGGGCCGCCCGGGTCACCCTATTTTCCCGGACGGCCCGGCCGTGCAAGGACCAAGGAAGGTCCTAGCAAAACAATAAAAATAAAATAAAAATTCAAAAAACTCCGAAAAAAAAACTATGTTAGGCAAAAACATGAAGTGAACAACGTTTGCCTCAGAGTCACATCGAAATTCTTTACCAAATTTAAAATAAAAAATAAAGTTAAAACTTAAAAAATAATTTTTAATTTTTTAATTTTTTAATTTTTTAATTTTTTTTTTGCCCGGCCGGGCAAGTGGCCCCGCACCACTCTGGTAGCCTAGCTACTTATACAATTACTTCGATCTTGTTGCTTGTACTACTTCACTCTAGTTAAATTATACTTGTGCAATTACTTCATTTTCACTGACACTCTGGTTAAATTCATATTAAGCATGTGAGTCATTTTGTGCCATTGTAATATTTTACTACGATAATTTTACATTGCACAGTTTAAATCATTAAATATAATATTTTACTTGAGTACTTTTACATTACATAGTTTAATTGGTTCTTTTTGTTTTGTCGATGGACCACGGATTGGATATTGCCTTACCAGTCAAATTTAAAATTTCATTTTCCAACCTATTATTATAGAGTTCATTACTATAATGAGATTCATAAGTCATGGTTCTTAACTTTTCTTTTTTTTCCCTTTGTTGGTGTTCTTAGGAACAGGCTAAGTTTTTTTAAACGAAAGAAGGAAGAGGAAAGAAAGGTATTTTTAACTCACTGTGGTTCTTAGGAATGTACTTAGATTTGGAAACAAAGATGAAAGAGACTAACAAAATTTATTTTCAATTTGCCGTAGTGTTAAAAAATGATCTACGATATTTTCAAAAACGAAGAAGAAACGAGAAAATAACACTTTCATTTTCCAACCTATTATTATAAAATTCATTACTATAATGAGATTCATAAGTCATGGCTCTTAACTTTTTTTTTTTTTCCCTTTGTTGGTGTTCTTAGGAACAGGCTAAGATTTTTTAAACGAAAGAAGGAAGAGGAAAGCAAGGTATTTTTAACTCACTGTGGGTTTTAGGAATGTACTTAGATTTGGAAACAAAGATGAAAGGGAGTAACAAAATTTATTTTTAATTCGCCGTAGTGTTAAAAAATGATCTACGATATTTTCAAAAACGAAGAAGAAACGGGAAAATAACACTCAGCGCACAACAAAAAGAATGTGTAAGATACGAAGAAATGAGGAATGAGAGTGTTGTGGGGCTCGCGCGTAGAACCAAATAGCGTATTCTGAAAGGAGAGCCGAAGGCAGCACACACACACCATCGTAGTGCACAACAAAGAAAATTGTCATGAAAGTTCTCGAAAAGAAAAAAGTGGGGAGATATGAGGAATTGAGGACGAAGAGTTCATTCTGCCTCGCAAAAGCGCGTAGCGCCGCCGAGCAAGATGGCAAGAGAAACGAAGTTAACATTCCATGCGATGAAGGCATTCGTGGAGGAAGGCGAGATAAGCGAAAACAAAGAATAAAAGACTACAACCTTTTCTCGAACACGACGCGCCTCCACCATGAATATATACAAACTTTGACGAGCCAGAGGTAGAACAATGAGGTCGAGGAAGAGAGAGAGAGGGAGTGAGACCACACACACACACTCACTCAACTCGACAAGGACTCGAGATGACTCGACGAACACATACACAAAGTGGCAAAGTGGCAAAGTCGCAAAGCCGCAATCTTGGTTCCGTACACAATGTCACAACAAGTCACACTGAAGCACAAGCATTGAGGCCGAAAAGTGAATCCCCGAACTCAGCTTGAGTCCGAGGGCAGAAGTGCAATTTGCCTCGGGGCTGAATTGAAAATTGAAGGTCTGAGCCTAAGCGCCAGAATGCCGGATGGCGCCAAGTATCGAAATCCAAAAGTGCCAGAGGCGGAATTTGAGAACGGGCGCCAACTACAGAGAGCGCCAACAGTCAAGAACCGAAGATCAAAGACTAAAAAAAAAAAGAATAGCAGCCTGGCGGGTGACCCACGGACCAGGGATCGATCCCTGCCCGAGTTCGTAACAGAGACTACGTTTCCGGCCTGATAAGGTCAAAGTGAGGGATGTCAAAATGAGGATGAGTTGTGATCCGGGGAAGACAGTACCCAACAACGATAGGAAAGACAACTGCACGTGAGACGAAAGACTGGGAAGCATAATGTACGAACGTACAGGAAGGATTGGGAGAGTGGTCGGTGAAAGAGAGCGCACCAAAAAGTTCAAGGAAAGGAGAGGGAATAAAAGGCTATTAAGACACAGTCGTCATATACAGCACACTGAAGTAGCGGGGGTGTGGGGGGGGCACGTATAAAGGAGACACCTGGAAAAATAGAGAGGGAAACGAGGTAAAAGAAGCCATAGGCAGATGAAAGTGGGACATCGAGAGGGAGACATGAAGGAGACGTGGAACGATAAGGGGAGAGGAGAATACGTGAGCGAGAGGGGGGGGTAATAGAGGACGATATTAAAGCGAGCAATGCAAATTCGAAACAAAGTGGGAACGGTGGTGCCAAGGGAAAGGAGGCAAGGGAGGAACGCGCCGGAGACGTAGTCGCGGGGGATCGGTGGGTGAAAGGAAAAATGCGGGGCAGTGCAAGGAAAGAGTATCACCAAAGGATAAGCATAATATAGATGCCTCAAGGAAAAACTACCTTAGTGCATCGATCGGAAAGATGAAGAGTAGAGAGTCGATAAAGCATAAGTAAAACCTTGGAAACACCAAATCCAAAATAGAACAAAAGTCGTCTAAAAGAGAGTAATTTGCGCAGGGAAAACTGTAACATACTTGTGGTAGCTAACACTGGAAATCGATTGGGAAAAGGATTCACTGATAGTGCACCAGAGGACGACCTAAAGGGAGAGGGGGGTGGGGAGGAATGGGATGGAGGGGAAGCAAGTTATATAGTGTGCGGGACTTTGAAGTAAAGGAATGACAACGTCCAACTCACCTTGCTCGTGAGACCCTTGTTTGGCCAAACATGTCCTTTCCTTTTCCCACTGCTCCGTCTGCATCTCCATATATACCCATCGTCTAAGACAACGCCATTGCCCAATTTAATCTCTCTCTCTCTCTCTCTCTCTCTCTCTCTCTCTCTCTCTCTCTCTCTCTCTCTCTCTCTCTCTCTCTCTGTGGGCATGTGTGTTAGGAGTAGAAAACCAGTTCGAAGGTTTGATACCTGATCCGCATGAAGGCGGACAACGAGAACCTTCAACGCGTGAAGTATAAACAGGCGACAAAACGAACCACCAAAAACGTTTGCCCTACTATCCTTCTCAGTTACACAAGATTATATATG